CAAACACATACACAATTTTGTTAATTAGCTCTATTGGTTATTCAATATGATCAAGATGAATTTAATTGTTTCACAGCAAATAGTGTGAATTATATTACATGTACATTACTCATTGTGTGGTAATAACAAAATGATGGGGAGATTTAATTCTAATAAGATAAAAGCTGTGCATGCTTTACCTTTTGCATTTGATATAACAGCCCAACAGTTGAGTAGGCTTTCATATAAGGCGGCGATTCAAATCCCACAACACGAAAATAAACTTCGTGTGTAACTCCCTCTCTATATGTTATTTGTATTGTTTCTGTAATGCTTCCAATTTGTTGAGCTTGTCTCCAAACGCATATTTAATCATTTACATACAATACAACAAAGAAATTAAAGCCCTTCAAAATAATGCCTGCTTGTAGGCACTTCAAATCAATCACACTGTAGTCCGTCTGTCTGTCTGTCTGTCTGGATGAACGCTTGAATTTCGGAAACGGCTGAGTCCACATTCGCCAAACTTGGTATGCAGACTCTTCTAATCCTTAGGCAACACGACTTTAGTTAATTTTTTGATTTTCCTCGCCATCTCCTAGCTACAGAATTTCGTCAATACTGTTCACATTTCGATTGCGCACGGACTCTCTATGTAATTATCTAATTCTGTTTCAAATTTCATTCAACGTCATTACCAAAACAATTGAACTCTAGTTCTACGCCGAAGAACTGTAGAGCGCATATAACTCAGCGCCAGAAGTTTGTTTCTCTCTTGTTTAATAGTATAATCACTACAAATATAATAATTAACGCCTTAAAAGGCTACACATATATTTCTGCTGTTGGCAGAAAAAGGCATGAAATGAGTCTTTTGCAATTCGTAAAAATTCAAACGCTTTTACTTTACATCCAACGAATACAACTGTTTGTTAAAGAAAGGCTTCCCTTAAAATATTTAAATGGACCTAGAATTTTTCAACAATCCATGCAATAACCTCTAGCTATGGATTTGGGTCAGGATTTTTTTTATACAATTTACATTTTGAATGCTTGGAAAATATTTTACAATTCCACGTGATTCAGAAATTAAAACTACACCAAACTGAATAATAAACTGATTTGGCTGTAAGCCAAGAGGTCAGCTTTATTCCAAAACGCGAGCAAACGAAAAGTTTGTAAAGCAAGGGCGAAAACACAGTAATCCATAGAACAGGCGAACTTTATTTTTAATGCAGCCGTAAAATCTAAGCTGCAACATAGATGCTGGACTAATAATGAAACGAAATTATTTAAAAGAGAAAATTGTATGTATGTGAAAATGTATGTTTTAGAAAAAAAAAACCGAAAAACGATACGTGCGGAAACAATTGAGAACAAAGCCGTTAATGTAAAGACTCGAAGAAGTTGTTATGATTAAATTTTTTCTTTACAAAACGAATCACACTATGAACTACGTAAGCACTGAGGAAATTTATATTTCCGTCAGTTATGTGTGCCACGTTGTCAGTTTATTAAGTTTGTCTGATTGATAGCACTATATAGAATGATGTTTTTCCCAAATTTTTAGGTTTTGTTCCAAATCTTTCGGTTGCAGGAATTTGATGTTGATTAGTCAATCCTAAATGGATAATATTCTGGCTGAAATATTTAAAAAATGATTTTTCCTTAAGCAGGAGTGCTTTGCTGGAAAAAAGAAAGAACACAATTTTTTTCAGAGAAATTAAAAACGTTACTATATACACTTTTTTGAGCACTTATACGAGTATATTCGAGATTTCGTATTTAAAATACAAGTACATACAGTAGTCGTAATTAGTTGTGTATTATATATCTAATAAGGTGTGTTGGCTAAATTTGTTCTTTTGTTTGCCAATTGGGTCAGAATCAATGTTAGAAAATCAAATAAATTTAAATAAAGTACATGTAGTAGCTTAATCTAATCACTTGAATAAAAATTTGTCCAATCGATGTAGCTTACTATTATATAAACGATAAAATTCCAACTAACTAGTGCCCTTCTTGTCATCTTGTTAAGTGCCAATTAAAAAGCTTTTGCTCGTTACCAACAAAATTCATTTCCAGCTAAATGAACTGGTTTTTAATTAGTCGAAGTAAAGCGTTGCATTGATTCAATACACCAGCACATGTACGCATAATCTCTCGGTAAAATGATATTCGGAAACAAAGTCTCTTTACACAGCAAATTCAAATAATTTTGTAAAAATTAATTAACAATATTTCTATTGAAATTATGAAGCAGCAAAGACAACCCCACCCCAAAATGCTCTTAACCCTAAGCTTGCGTCACATAATTTTAATTAGAAAAGTTTTCGCCTTCACTCCCAAATAAAAAAAGAAAGTGGATGTAGAAGGCAACATAACACACAAAAAAAGAAAGAAACTTAACAACTTTGGGATTAAATTAAACATATGCCGGAAACGAAAATTGTTGTAGCATAATTTTATGGGCAGGTAACTGGAAAACAACAACAAACAGAAGCTGCGCAAATGTCATAAATAACTTAACGTGGTATAGTATATTATACGAAATTGTAATTTAATGCAAATACAGACGCTTTTAAACGCCGTGCAATGCATCATCGTTTTAAGCGCTCTTTATTGTTTCGCGGGGGGGCGTTGCGTTGAGCGCGTTACACTCATACGGCATGTTGACCAGCGGCGGCAGAGCAGATCTGGAACAGGCGGGCTGAACAGTCGTGAAGAGAGCGGGGGAGCAGAGGCGAGCAGAGCAGAACAGAACAGAATAGAATAGAAAGCAGAAAAGTGCCGTTGGCGCTGCTGCTGTTATCTCAGCTCTCTCGCCCTTCTGCTGCTAAACGTTTTGGTAGCACATTTCATTGCATGATGATGTTGCTATTGTCACACACACACACACACACACACACACACATACTAAAGCACACATAAGTGCTCATACGTACGTACGTACACCCATGAGCGTGTTGGCAGTGAGCTGCTGATGGAATTATTATGTGCTCAACGAACCGCAAAAAATCTGTGCTGTTGCGCTCTATTTTTCATTTTGCCCATCTCGCATATCTCTTCTCCTTTCTTCTCCTTTTTTACATTATGAAATACTTTTTCCGCTACTATTTTTCAACTTGTGCGCACTTTTATCTTTGGCAGCAAACGAACAAACAAACAAACAAACACAAACACTAATATAAACACAGCCGTCAGTTTTGTGTGTTTCATGTTGTAGATTTTCAATCTCCCTCATCCTGGCACCCATCCCCCTGCATTTTTTGTACATGACAGGGCACAAAAGTCGACAGTTGATGTGCGTAACGCATTTGCGGCTACGCCCCAACTACCCTCAGGTGTGGGTGGCGTGGTCGAGGAGAGAACGGAAAGGACTGCAAATAGGTGGAAAATTTTAACAACAGCGACTTGCTGTTGCCTTTGACTTTGTCCTGTTATTAATTAGTGGTCATTTCTTACAGAAAGCTAATGCTCTTGCCGTGGGCGCTCTCTGCATTTTGAGCTCGTAACAAACGACAGCAGCAGCAGTAGCAACAACAGCAACGATTTCCAAGAACAATCACAACTACAACACCTTCGACCAGGTCAGCAAGTTTGCGACAACTTAGAGCAGAGTTGCAGCAACTTAGACTTTGTCTTCGAATTTACCTGTTTAGTGATTGCTTTATAAGTCGCTGCTGTCATTTGTAGTGTTGTTGTTGTCTTAGCTGCTGTTGCCATGACTAATAAATCAAGTGCGTGTGGCAAGCAAAAATTAATTAGTGCGCCCTGTTACTGACGCCCAACATTGATAAAAAGCTGCCCTTAATTTGTTTCATTCGCAGGTATATACAGGATCGTATTTTATGTAATATCCAGGCTATATACAGCTATGACAGTTAATCATTTTTTTATTTCCTTTCTTGTTCCTGGTCGGCCACACAAAAATATTCACTGTAATTTGTCAGAAAAGTTTCGTCCGCTTGTTCAACTAACTTGCAAGGTTACACTTGCTACATCGTACAATACATACATACATACATACATACATACATACACACATACATACTCCTATATTATAGCATAGGTACTATTTGTCTAGTTGACTGCAACTGTCAACTGGCTTCTGCGGCTGTGTGGCTCTTTGTGTGTGTGTGTGTGTGTGTGTGTGTGTGTGTGTGTTTGTGGGAGCATTGTGCAAACTTTTGTAATTTAATAATAAAATTCTTACTGTGCATTTGCGCAGCGAAAAGTCAACAACTTTGACTGCGATGACTACCCATGTTAAGTTGTTACTGCAACATCAGAATCTCAGCAGTTGGTAGCACGTAAAATTCCTCGAGCTGAGCAGCCACATTCCTCATAGCATGCCATAACCCAGTCAGCTCTGCTCACCTGGTTGCCTGCCAGCCTGCCAGCCTCTCCCCCTGCCCCCTGCCCTCCTGCCGCCCGTGGTCGAACCTAATGTCTGCGCACAGCTGGCGGCATCCCACATAGTTTATGTCGTTATTTTTGTGCTCCTTGTTGTTCCTCTTTTTGTTGTAGCTCCGATTGTTTGTGTTGTTGCATATTTTTAGTATACAAATTCCGCTAAGCTGCCAGCATAGCTTGCTGCACACACACATACATATACATATATGCACACATACCTATGAATGCACGAACACGTTCGCCTATCTTATAGAATACCTCATGAATTTCAATTTGACGACAACGTTTATGTGCACTTGCCTTTTTATGCTGCCACCAACTGTGGCATGCCGCCTTCACCCGTCTATGCCTCCATCTGTCTGTTAGTCTGTCTGTGTGTCTGCTCTCCACATATCCGACCATAATTTGGTTACGTTTCGTTGCTTTTTTAAGCAAAACAAATGAGACAACAATTGCGACACACATTTATTTCTTATTCTAACAAGGCAAATGCTTAAGCATAAAATGTTTCCAATCTCAACAAATTAGTGCATAATTTGACAACGGTATAGGTATAGCGAAGTATAAGCGAAGTATAAGCAAAGAGAGAGAGAGAGAGAGGTCGTCTAACGCTCCAGCGTTTTCAGCATTGCCAAGAAAGAGCCGGCTGTTCTGACTACCTGCAGAACAAATATAGTTAGCGATTAGATATATTGGTTAATCACGTAGAACATTTAATTAAGAAACAACAAAATGAAAACAAAGTTTGAAAGATGCCCCTGCGAGGTGTATACATGTATATTCTTGCAGTCATTATAATTCCTTACTGATCTTGTTATGAAGTCATCTAAGAGCTGTTTCCCAATATCCATAGATTGAAATTCAGATGAATTTTAAAAACATTTATTTCTTGAACATGGGCTGACAGGCTAGGGAATATTATTTAGTGAGGTGTAATTTGAAATTATAGCAAGCATTGTAGCTGATTCTTTAAAGTAATAATACTATATATAATTTTTAATCAAGGAAATTGTAAGCTAGTAAGATAATTTGTAGATGGGCAGATACTTTTGTTTGTATTTTGTGTGTTGAAAAAAATCGGAGAATTCGGTTACTTTTTTTTACTCGGTGAGGAGAAGCAAGAAACCTAGACTAGAATTCTCGACACTGGAGTCTGCTCAAAATAATTGCTTGCCCATACACCTTAGAATGTATATCAGTCTGGTAAAATAATTGGAAATGTTCATCTTTTCACAACCACTTACCCAAAGTAGCAACGGCAAATCAACATCAAACATAAAGCCTGAAATCTTAGACGCATGTTGAGCTCGCATTATCATAAAGTGGAGTATCCTGCGAGAATTCAGTGTAACGCGTGGCCAATCGAAGCTGTCATATATAGAATTGGCCAATTGTAGGCTCTACAAGTAATATTGTGCTAGAATTGTGAGAGGGCCAAGTAATGTTCAACCCTACCTGCTGCTTTAAATACTCGCCACCGTAACAATATGTGCTTAGCTGAAAAAGTACGGTCATTAGAAAGCCGATACGAAAGGGGACTTGCGCATTCCAATCGGCGCGACTAAATCGATATATGTTCATGGTTAACTGCAGAAAGCTTAGAGTGTACTGCACTAGGAGGATCTCGGCATAGACTCTCCCCAGTTCCTTGGCCAGTTCTAGGACGACACAATGCAGTTGCACACATGCGATTAGTGTGGATTTTCTGGTGGCACCGTCATTTTTTTTCGACGCCAAGTGGAGGCCCTGCTGAAGAATGTGAAAATGTGCCACGATGTTGTGGGCCAGCCAGCAGAAGAGAGTGTCTGCACTCACTAAAGTAGAGACGGCACCAAAAGTGGTGAACATGGTCCACGCATAGATAGGCCAATGTCCTTGCTGATGTCCAACCAAAAATCAAAACTCAAAGGTGTTTCTGGCCGGAAGCGACCCGTCTGTAGATATTCGTATAGTCCGAAGATTAAAGGGGACGTCGCTGGCACCAGGACCGTGGCAATAGCTGCCACTCGAAATGGTCTCGTAATGCGCCGCTCCCGAATATTCTGTTGCTCGATCAGTGTCAACTGCAAGGCTGTTGCACTGGAATTTAGAGAGTGGACGCGATCTATCAGCGCCCCCAGTCGTTGCCGCTTCCATATAATCATAGCCAACTTGCTGGTGTTCAGCGAACCTTGCCACACGAGGGCGAAGGCGTCGGTTAAAATAATCAGGTTATTGGAATTTTACAGCCCATAGATAATCATAGGCGCAAGATTCGTAAAGAATGAGATGAAAATCAACACGTAATACGGTTACGGTAACGCTCGCTTGAACCTCCCATCTGCGTGCGTGTGTGTGGGTGTACGTGGGTGGGCGTGTTTGTGGTGTTTTGATTGGAATTTCCAATTTCATACAATAATAGTCGTAGTTTGTTGATAGCAGCTTGTGTTAAAGGAAGGCGTCAACTGTAAATACTAGGCAGTACAGCCCAAGTAAACATTTGCATAAATACCCGTAGTTGAAATTCCAATTGGTCTTTTATTTATTTATTTGTTTTTTGCCACCCACAGCATTTCGTATGCAACATTTTTATTTTTAATTAACATTTGTAAATGCATATTATGGTGCTTGTACCGTCGCCGTTGCCCACAATTTGATTTTGGAGGCATGTTCAATTTCACATGCCACAGGCTCAATCGCAATCACAGCTCATCGGCTTAGTTGGTCAGACTCCATTGTCTAGCCACAATCTCTACTAGAATGGTGACAACTTCAATTTCAATTCTCTCTATGCCATCAGCAGGAGAAGTAAAAGTATGAGGACAACAACAAAAATTACGAACACATTTCTATTAGAATGCAATTATGCAGAGCATTGACAATGGGTGAATAAAATTGCTATCCCACTATTAATTATTGTCCTGCCCCACGGGCGCATGAAATTTGAAACGTGGAACGGTTGAACACACCTCCTCGGTATGGAAGCAGATGGACTTTGGACGGAGGCTCGTCGGGAAATGGAGTGGGTCGAAAGAGTAACCGTCAAGAAAATTCGCGAAAAAAGGTATTATAGTGTATACAGACAGACGGAATTCTTCGTTTTTTGACGCATCTAAAAGTTCGTGTGCGCACGCTACCATGATCCTGATGGTCCACTGAAAACTTCAGGATCCCAGGATTTCATTGCTGCGTTGCACGGGTTCCCTATCGGTTGCAAACTAACACATGTTTAACATTACAATTAATTTATTCAACATATAAATAACATGGCGACTTAATGAATTAATTCTTGTTGTTGCTTAGTTTAGCTCAAGCTAATGTTGGTTGTTTTTTTTCCGAGGACTTAGCAATATCACTAGCACAAATACTATTATACGTTACTATGTTCATTTTATTTTAAAATAAAAAGTAAAATCGGCGCGATTTTAAGAAAATGATTCGCGAGTACCACTGACTGCTGACCACCAGGAGAAAGTCTTTCACTTCCGGAAATCTCTGTTGCCTTCTTCATATTCTCATATTCTCTCAAATATTCTCATGCCTAACTTGGGGAGTTTGAATTAACGATTGGAGGTACCTTAACCAGTTTTATAAATTGTTTGGACATAACTTCAATAAGAGCAAATGTATTCCTTTTTGACCTCAGTGCACTATTTTCGTCGCAACAAATAACAGGTTGGCGACAAAGCGTTGCATACTTCAGCGCTGACCAATAAAAGAAAAAAGTATTTCGTGCAAACGAAAAGCGGACCACTACAGCCACCAACTGTGGCATGCCGCCATTACCCGTCTATGCTTCCGTCTATCTGCCGTCTGTTTGTCTGTCTCTCTATTTTCCACATATCCGACCATAATTTGGTTGTGTTTCGTTGCTTTTTAAGCAAAACAAATGAGACAACACTTGCGGCACACATTTATTTCTTATTCTAACAAGGCAAATGCTTAAGCATAAAATGCTTGCAATCTCAACAAATTAGTGCATAATTTGACAACGGTATAGGTATAGCGAAGTATAACCAGAGAGAGAGAGAGAGATAGAGAGAGAGAGAGAAAGCTTGTGAGGGCGTAGCTTAGGCAGAGGTCGTCTAACGCTCCAGCGTTTTCAGCATTGCCAAGAAAGAGCCGGCTGTTCTGACTACCTGCAGAAAAAATATAGTTAACAATTAGATTTAATGGCTAATGAGATAGTATCTTTAATTAGAAACCAACAAAATGAAAACAAAATTAAAAAGATGCCCCTGCGAGGTGTATACATAGGTATACCATTATTCTTGCAGTCATTATAATTCCTGACTGATCTTGTTATGAAGTCATCGATTTAAATTCAATTGGTGAACATCGGCTAACATGCTAAGGAATATTATTTAGTAAGGACTAATTTTAAATTGGAGCAAGCATTTTAGCTGACTCTTTAAAGTAATAATTTATAATTTCTAATCAAGGAAGTTGTAACCTAGTAAGATTAATTGTACTTCTGTTTGTGTTTTATGTTTCGAATAAGCTCTGAGAATTCGGTTGCGTTTTGATTAATCGGAGAAAGGAAAGGGGAACTCTCGACTAGCATTCTTTACACTGGAGTCGGCTCAAGATAATTGGCTAAGATTCTTATGCTCTAAGGCTTGCCCAAACACTATACTATGAATATCACCCTGGTATAATTTTTGAAATGCCCATCTTTTCACAACCACTTACCCAAAGTAGCAACGGCAAATCAACATCAAACATAATGCCTGAAATTTTAGACGCACGTTGAGCTCGCATCATGATAAATAGCAGTATTCTGCGAGATTCCAGTGGAACATGCGGCCAATCGAAACTTTCATATATAGAATTGGCCAATTGTAAGCTCTACAAGTAATATTGTTCTAGAATTGTGAGAGGGCCAAGTAATGTTCAACCCTACCTGCTGCTTTAAATACTCGCCACCGTAACAATATGTGCTTAGCTGAAAAAGTACGGTCATTAGAAAGCCGATACGAAAGGGGACTTGCGCATTCCAATCGGCGCGACTAAATCGATATATGTTCATGGTTAACTGCAGAAAGCTTAGAGTGTACTGCACTAGGAGGATCTCGGCATAGACTCTCCCCAGTTCCTTGGCCAGTTCTAGGACGACACAATGCAGTTGCACACATGCGATTAGTGTGGATTTTCTGGTGGCACCACCATTTTTTTTCGCTACGAAGTGGATCCCCTGCTGAAGAATGTGAAAATGTGCCACGATGTTGTGGGCCAGCCAGAAAAAGACAGTGTCTGCGCTCACAAAAGTACAGACGGCACCAAAAGTGGTTAGCGTGGACAACGTATACACAGCCCAATAGTAGTACGGCTTGCTGATGTCCAACCAAAAATCAAAACTCCAAGGTGTTTCTGGCCGGAAGCGACCCGTCTGTAGATATTCGTATAGTCCGAAGATTAAAGGAGTCGTCGCTGGAACCCAGACTGTGGCAAAAGCTGCCACTCGAAATGGTCTCGTAATGCGCCGCTCCCGAATATTCTGTTGCTCGATCAGTGTCAATTGCAAGGCTGTTGCACTGGAATTTAGAGAGTGGACACGATCTATCAGCGCCCCCAGCCGTTGTCGCTTCCATATAAGCAAAGCCAGCTTGCTGGTGTTCAGCGAACCTTGCCACACGATGGCAAAGGAGTCGGTTAAAATAATCAGGTTATTGAAATTTTGCAGCCCATTGATAATCATAGACACAATACTGGTAACGAATAAGATGAAAATCAGCACTATGTTCAGGGGATTTTTCACTTGGAGTCCTGGCGACTGCATGTTGAAGCCCAAGAAGGACAGAGCCTGGCGCTGTACACCGAAATAGCCGGCGCCAAGAGCAGCAATGGAATGCGCGGCCATTCTGTGGGTAGAACTATGTTTTGATTTCAAACCTCAGTGAAACAGCAGCTTTTATACCAAACACGTAAACTAAGGACTGAGCTGGAAGCTTTGACCTGGCTAAGTGGTTGTTGCCGCCCATGAAATTGTGCTCTGAAATATTTATTGTCTCCGTTAAATAGGAAACGTGATACGGTTACGGTAACGCTCGCTTCAACTTCCCCATCTGTGTGTGTTTGAGTATGCATGTGTGTGTGGGTGTGCGTGGGTGGGCGTGGGTGGGCGTGGGTGGGCGTGTTTGTGGTGTTTTGATTGGAATTTCCAATTTCATACAATAATAGTCGTAGTTTGTTGATAGCAGCTTGTGTTAAAGGAGGGCGTCAACTGTAAATACTAGGCAGTACAGCCCAAGTAAACATTTGCATAAATACCCGTAGTTGAAATTCCAATTGGTCTTTTATTTATTTATTTGTTTTTTGCCACCCACAGCATTTCGTATGCAACATTTTTATTTTTAATTAACATTTGTAAATGCATATTATCGTGCTTGTACCGTCGCCGTTGCCCACAATTTGATTTTGGAGGCATGTTCAATTTCACATGCCACAGGCTCAATCGCAATCACAGCTCATCGGCTTAGTTGGTCAGACTCCATTGTCTGCCCACAAGCTCTACTACAATGGTCACAATTTCAATTTCAATTCTCTCTATGCCATCAGCAGGAGAAGTATGAGGACAACAACAAAAATTACGAACACATTTCTATTAGAATGCAATTATGCAGAGCATTGACAATGGGTGAATAAAATTGCTGTCCCACTATTAATTATTATCTTGCCCCACGGGCGCATGAAATTCCATTAGGCTCTTACTTTATTCATGCGTAATTGAATTAGGCGCTGCCCCAACCCTGCCCATCCAACTGAAATATGACAACTCTGCCTGAAGACGCCTAATTGGAAATTCCTGACCAACGAAACCGGCGAGCCGAGCCCGTGGGTCCAAAGTGTGCAAATCAACGAGTAAATCTGCTGGTACTTGGGCACGCTTTGACGCCACGCCTAAATGCTAAACAATTGACCCACATGGTGGGGTGCCTCGCCGTTGTTGTTTGCCTTGTTGTTGGGTAAATGCACAAATCGTTCGAAAAGAGGTTTTACGAGTATAATAGCGATTTGCTCAAAGAAAAAAGGGTGTTTTCTTCGTGCAGGCTTTCCAACTTAATGTCACTTTAATTACTTAAAAGCTTCAACTCAAAAAGAATTTGTATTAAACGCTGTATAAAACCATTGTTGTGTTTAAAATTCTGTTTGCTTTTAAACTTACTTAAGCAAAATGGCCGTAAAATGTATATTTGTCAGTCTTGAAAAAATGGAATTAACATTAACAGGTAGTAACATTTAGAAACAAAATATTTATAAATTG